GGGGTCTCCATCCCACCCTCCTGGTGGCTTTCCGCACCCTCACCCCTTCTTCTCTCCCCCCAGCATGGAGGTGGGGGTCTGCGCCGAGGCGTACGGCCAGGAGATGTCCGTCAGCCGCAGGCACATCAACAGTGCCTTCATGACCTTCGTGGTGCTGGACCAGGAGGGCAAACCCCGCACCCTGCCCATGGTGGCACCCGAGCCAGGGGTAAGGACGGGCAGGGCTGGCTTGTCCCCACCGTGGTGGGATGGGACCCCGGCAACCCTGCTTAGCCCTGAAAGACCCTCTAATTGAAAACCAAATGCAGTTTTATGATGATGGAAAGCAAATTGCTCACTAGCAAGTGAATTAAATTGATTGCTCAATATAACTAATAATAAAATAAACCACTTGCCTGTGCAGAGCTGGAGATGTATCAGCCTTGCAAGGCTTTAGCAGAATATCGCCTGCGAGTTCGAGCTCATCTTTTCTATAATTTAGAGGAAAGAATGCAAACCTCTTAGGTTGTTTTGACCTTTCAAAGCATCCTCATCCATAATTTGCTTGGATCTAAATATTTGAGAAAATCTGCCATGGGAGCATGGAAGCAAACACCCGCATGTCTCAGGGCACATCATAGCGTGAGCGAGCGACAGCATCACCTCCCCTTGGCTGGTCTGTGCCCACCTGCCTGATTTGTTTGATGCCTTAAAACCAGGACTCTTCTCCCATCCTGTAGAAGAGCATTTTGTGGTCAGAGCCGGGCTCCCTGAAACCCCTCCACCTGCTTTAAAACACCACGCTGGCACTTTCTTTGCAATGAGCTGCTTTTTTGGGGCTTTATTTCCCCGGGAGGGGCCATTTACATGTTCTAGGAGAGGCAATTTGTGTTTCAGTGGCAGTTTGCAGCTCTGCAGCCGCAGCGAGGGGTTCTTCCTAATGTGCCCATGCCTGTTGCTCGATCACAGCACGTGGCAGTGATGCCGAAATAGCTCGCGGTTAATCACTAACTACTGCTGCCAGCCCAGCCGAGGTGGCAGCGGGTCAGCACAGAGGCTTTTCACTGCTGAATGTTTTGCCCACTCCCCAAAAAAATTTTTTTTTCTTTTTCTATCAACCTGACATGCTTTTTCCCCTTTATCAGGATGGAGAGAGGAGGTACAGAGAAGCCAGTGCCAGGAAAAAAATTCGGCTGGACCGGTGAGTGGAAAAAACAAGTGGGATGCAGGGCTGGAGGGAGATGGGTTCGGCAGTGGGGTGCAGGGACAGCCTGTGGGTGGTTTGTGTCCTACCATAATGGGAACTGTTCCTTTGCGGCAGAAAATACGTCGTCTCCTGCAAACAGACCGAGGTGCCACTCTCCGTGCCCTGGGACCAAAGCAACAAGGTAAGATGCTGCCCCACGGGGACCCCTGCCTCCTGCCCCCCATCCCACCCCTGACCCGCTGCCCCTGCCCCAGGTTTATCTGAGCTACAACAATGTCTCTGCGCTCAAGATGCTCGTAGCCAAAGCGAACTGGGCTCTCGCCAGAGAAAAGGAAAAGGTAACAAACCCTTCCACGCCCCTCCGAGCTGCTTCTTGCCCCCGAAGTGTGGGCAACCCAGGGGCTTTGAACGTGTCCCCCCTGTGCTCCCCGAGGTGCGGATGTACACGCTGGAGGAGGATAAGTTCCTCTCGTTCCGCATCGAGATGTCGGTGCACATCGCTGCCAGCCGAGCCTTCTCCCTGCTCTCTGACCTGCGGCGCCGGCACGAGTGGGACCGGCACTACGCGTGAGTGCTGCACCCTTTCCAAAACCCACCCCCTCCAATTTAATGCTCATCACTTTGAGATTTTCCTGGGGGCACGTGTTTCACCTCGGAGCCACGATTGCTCCTAGAGACCTTCCATCATGCATCCCTGTCCCTGGGATTGCCTGCTCTGGCTGTGCTAATGGCTGCAGAAAACATCCATTTTGGGTCCCCAAAAATATTTTGGGCACAGCAGTGGGCTGTAAATGATCCCGCCAGGCTTGGGAACCAGAGCAGGGTTTCTCTGGGCAGTCCCTTTGGGGTATGGCACAGTCCCTTGCATAGGTGCCTTGCGGCTGGTCTCTGTCCCTCCTGGTGTCACTGGTCCCCTCCCACCTTGCAGGAGCGCCGAGCTCGTCCAGCAAGTAGATGACGACGACATGATCTACCACGTGGTGAGCCAGACACTCAGCAGTGAGAACAAGCCACAGGACTTTGTCATCCTGGCCTCCCGACGGAAACCCTGCAGCAAGGGGTAACCATCCCTGTCCCCAATCCCCCGGCGGGGTTGTGGTGGCCCCCCAGCCTCTCTCCTCCCCAGGGACCCCTATGTGGTGGCTTTTCGGTCGGTGACATTGCCCACCCACCCTGCCAGCGACAACTTCACGCGGGGAGAGACGATCTGCTCCGGCTTCTGCATTTGGCCTGAGTCAGAGGAGATGACCAAGGTGGGATGCTGTGGCCGTGCCATGGGGCTGCACCCCATGGAAGCAGCTCCCCCATCCCCACACGCCCCTACTCACCATCTCGCTGTCTCGCAGGTGGCTTACTACAACCAGGCTACGCCGGGGTACCTCAACTACGTCACCAGCAATGTGGCGGGACTGTC